GTGAGACTACAAACACTCTTTTCTCGGTCAAATAGGCACCAAATTCAAAATTTATGTTACATTTCGACTACATATATAACCCACTTTCAATAAAGATTAATGTTTCCACGGGTGAAATGCTTCTTTAACAAACTGTCAATCTGGGGGATTCTTTAAGGCGGTGGCGAGAGCATTGATATTGATTGGTGTATTCAGATACTTACACAAGCTGTGCTTAGTTGGATTATGGGGACCTAGTCGATCTTGTGTGAGCTCCACTGCAGAAGGAGCAATTGTGGAGAAAAACGGCAACTTGAGATGTGCGATCTGAGGTCATTGAAGTTATTATAGACCATCCCACCGCCCTGGTAGAGGACTGGTCTGCCTTTCTTGCCAACGCCCTTGGGAAGGGGGCCGAGGGCGGTTGGTTGAACGCTTCAGGCGAGCAACCGTCTCTAATATGTTTGGATCCGAGAGACAGTCGGAGAGATGGCGAGGTGAAATCAGGTCGCGGTGGCTTCGCCTGAGGCACCTGGAAGGAGCAACGTCCCTCAGACGCCGAAGACATGGTCTTCCCCTGTATGGTGTTGGACTTGTTGGTGGATGGAGGCTGGGAGTGTCAGGGAAAATGGATCGTTGAGCGCAGCCGAGTTGGCTGACGAGAAGGGACGTTAGGCAGAGATTTGGGGAGTTTGCTCTAATCTTCTTCAAACTGGTTGCTGTCTGAAGGGTTGAGGAGGAGCTTGGCAACGACAGGAGAGCCATCAAGCGGAGGAAGAGGAGTGAGTTTGTAGCGATTTGTAAGTAGGCTTAACTGTTAAGCTTACACATCATCCATCGTATTGATAAGTCTGCCAGTATTTGTTTTTGTGAAGTTGGAAGTTATTTATTCCATGTTTAAGGGGTGTGATGTTACCCTGCGTTGAAATAAATGAACTAAGTAGTCTATTTGTTGGTTGCTCTGACATGTTCAGATTCATTACTGCTTTTTTGTTATCATTTAACAGGCAGTTGTTAAATTCTACACATTTAAATAGTTAAATTAATAAACATGCTACGACTACGGACAGGGCAGCCCTACTAAATATACCGGTAACTTAATTTTTATGCATTTTACATTGCTTTGGCCTTGGTTCAGGAACTATAACATTCTCAATGTAGCAGATAATGGCAGTTGTCAGCTAAAGCTGAAAGCAAAGAGGAAGTGCAGGTTTGCCTTGAGACATGCTGAACATCATGTTTAACATTGATGATATGGGTACAGGGCAATCTCATTACAGTGTATATCCATCTGCTTCAAGATAAGAGCAAGCTGAAAGGGCAGAACACTCACATATCATCTTATACCCATGTGACTGGCATGAGACCACTCAGAGCAAGACTGTGAGTGCAGAGTCTTCTGCTTGTACGTGTTCTTGAGTAACATTTCACTCATACAGCACAAATTACAGTACTTACAGTTACATGAGCTACATTTACTTGAAAGATTTTTATTAACAGGTATGTTTTTTTCTCATGTGCCCCCTGTTTGATGCTGGACTGCATTGCTTGTGATGTGAGATTGGCCACTGAAGCTCAATAAGTGGTAATTATCAATGGTGTCAGGATGATCTGTGTGGTTACTTATGGGTAATGTAGTCAGGTCACGTTTTCCTGGGTAAGATCGCACTAGAGGGCAGAGGCGCTTGGTTCTTTGATCATAACAAGGCAGTTGAGAAATGTCCGGATTTACCATGCCTTGATCAAATGAAGCTCCTTTTACTAAGAGGAGTTACCACCCACATTAGAAGCAGTTCATGATGCCTGGGTATGCGTGAATGCATCAGTGCTATTACACTAGCAGTACATCTATGTATATGCCTGAGGTGATGAAAGGACTAATGAGTATCTGGGTATGTAGGTGTTTTTGTGCGTGAAGAGAAACAGAGAGAAATGATCTTACCACACTCCTTCATGGGTTCATCAGACCAGTCCTTGCAGTCTTTCACATTATCACACACCTTGCCGCTGTCAATACACTCCCCGTTCTTGCAGCGGAACTTTTTTGGCCCGTCACACTTGGTAACTGTGGTGAAAACACAACACACTATAAAGTTACACATTAGGTTTTTACTTACTTAACTACATCTCTGTTCAGCTAGAAACATGTAATGTTCAATGACTTAAGCAAGTGTCTTAAACAAACCCTGAGCCAAATTGCTATTCCACAACAAAAAAAGGAAATTGCTAATATATGATCATTTTTAGGGAGGTCCAGAGGGGTTGTGTATTAAAAAGCTTTTGGTAGGTTTTGGTAGGTACAGCAATACTGTAACCATTGGTTGTGCATATAGTCAGCCAGGCAGTGCTTAATAAACAAACAAATTAGTTATCGCTACCTACTTTGTATATAGAGATGGGTTATAGGTGTAAGGTTAAATATGCTATTTTTAATGGTAGAACTTGTTGAGAGCAATACACAGAGAAGCCTGAGAAGCCCATAGGTAAGAAATTCCATAAACCATTTTAGAAGGTGATTTGCAGGTGTTTTTTGTGATTTGACCTCCCTGTGCCAGAATTCGAAATAACTGCCAGCTCTCACAAATAATAAAAAACGGTGTGTTTTTATCATTGCAATATCACCAAATTTAAACATCATTTAAAACATACACCACTTAAGTGTCACAGTTAGAATGTTTTATGTCAGCCACTGAAATAAACACAGGCACAGCTGTACAGTACATGCACGTGCATGCACACATGTTATGTACTGTGCCATCCGTGGAAACTGTAAAGAGTAAAAAATCAATTTCAGATTCACAGTTGCACTTCAAAAGACTGCCTTCAAGATAAGGTTTGCTGCCAGACATAGTGTCTGATGATGACCTTGAGCTTTTCTGTGCACCACAGGATGTAAACTGGTTGTTGAGTAAAAATATCACTATAACTTGTTTGCTGTCCACAATCACATTTCATTGTATTAATTTATTGTATATGTAAAAGGAGATTTAAGGAAGATGTAAACTGACATTTCAATACTGACATTTTGGGCTCTTACACTCCCATTCCTCTCTGTCTTTGTTGCTTTAGCAGTGCAAAAAATAACTTCTTTAAACAGTTTCTCATGGGGCTGATTCAACTAGCGCAGCCAACTACAGCCATCTGTGCTACTTTCAAGTACATCCCCTGTGAATCTTGTTCATAGTGTTAAAGTTGTAATTGGAAATAGTTTTTAGGGCGAATCAAATATGACAATGGACAAAAAAAATGCATGAAGCTGAAGATTACATTGTCATTTTCTTAGGGGCAAATATTTAACATTCAGATGGAAAAACAACATTTGACTTCCTGATTATCTATGTGGAATATGATTCAGGTTTGTTGCAACTGCATATATTCATCTGACATTTACCGTTGACACAGCCAGCTTCATCACTGTAGTCTGGACAGTCGTGAACTTTATTGCACTGTTTGGTGCCATGGATACAGGATCCATCGCCACACTGGAACTCATCAGGTCGACAAGTAAACAGGGCTGTGGGACACAAACCACACACACACATACATTAGAATTAATATTAGAATTATCTGACTACAAAGCTAGAGGCTTATAACACACCTACATTTTCAAAATTGATGGAGAAAAAAATTCATTTAGACCTCTAAAACACTCACTCTTTCTTTTAAACATTCACTCTTTCATTTTATGTGTCACTGTAAAGTTGAAGACAACACACACACCAACACATATACACAACATTCAGCCCAGCATGTCTCTTTCTCAACTGTATCTATTAATATGTGTGTGTGTGTACAGTATGGGTTTTGCTTCATCAGACCAACTTGGAGTGCACTCCAATCCAACAGTAATCAGTTATACACAACTCTTACCTGCACAGAAAAAGCCCCAGTGGAAATGAAAACCAGGCAGGTATTCATTCACTGTCTGAGGAAAACCCACATCCAGTGACCTATTGAGTATGTGTGTATGTGCAAGTGTGTATAGGAACTTGTTGTGCTTGCTCTAACAGCAGAGGGCAGGTTTATTTAACTCATTCGTCTTTTTAACTGGCTGTTTAATTATTCATGTGTTGTGTTTTGGACTGGCTCTGCCAAGGGAATGGAGGCAGAAATGATCAATGGCTGTGGAGGCCACAAAAATGCGTGGAACAAAAATGCGTGGAACACAATCAGTGTATCGGGAAATATGGAATAAAACACAGCCACACACACGGCTGGACAACAAGTGAGTGCACATCCACAAATCTACAGGTCCTGTTGGTCAGCAGACACATACTGTACAGATACATCAAATACATGTATGCAGCAAGGCATGTGCACATTTACATGAACACACAGGGAAGCTGACTCAGACTTCTAACGCTCAAACTAAAAATAAAGATAACATATTAATGCTAAAATAGGCAAAGTGTGGAAGACATAATCCTGTGCCATCACAAAATGTGCTGATTCTTTCAGCCAAATGATTGGGATCTGAGCTCAGCTAATTATGATAAATCCCCAGGATGAATAGTTATAATAACAGATTGCCATCTGCGGAAAAGTTGGCAGGTGGGAAAGCAGAGAACCAACTACAGATACAATTTGACCATTTTTCATTTACATTAACCTCCTGTCACCCTTCTCACAGTGGCTTGTCTCAGCATGTCTGTAAAATAACGCAATATTATTGAGACAGATGTTTCAAATAAGATGGGAGATAACCAGGGGACGAGCAAAGCTTGACGGAATAGGAGGGGGAGGAGAAAACAAACTGGAGATATGCAATGATTCTCACATTTCTAATTTACATTGAAATGTTGCACCTCCCTAAGCTGAGCTCTGCTAGCTCATTTACATTACACAGACATCTAAAACTATTACATCTTGTTTGACACAAACCTCCAACCGCCCATTTTTATTCAGTGTGATGAGCATGCACACAGACCCAATCAAATACATATAGTATACACATCTCCTGTCACATCATATCTGTGAAATAGTGAACATGGTTATTGAGACAGATGATTCCACTGGCACATGTAGACCAGACAAGACCGCTTCACTTGCTGTCACTGTCAGAAGTCATCATCATTCAATTATGCTACTGGGTTTGTTTTTGTTTAGACCTACTGTGTGTATGTTTTAATGGCATTATTCCCAAATAGAGACTTATTCATAGACCTTGAAACATTGACCTGGAAATTTTAATTACATCTTACTTTAGCAAGCTAGCTAGCAAACTGGTATAGCTTTTAAAAACATATAATTTGGCAACCTGATTAGCTTATTATAACTAAAACTAAAAGGTAAAAATATTTAAGGTAGTCTCAAGTAAGAATAAAAATCCTAAGAGGGTGAATTATTTCAGGAAACCACTTAATAGTCATCTATCAATCTCACATATCTAACAAAATGTAAGAATAAACAGTTAAGGACCAAAACAGCCTAATATTTTTTAAATTAGCAACTAATATATTTGATTTAATTTGAGATTGTTCTACAGAACTAGAAAACCATGAATCACGTTATAGAGACAATCATCTCTTATCCTTCATGAATAGATCAAGAGATTTTGCCTTAATGCTATGAGTGTGATGCTCACTTGCATATTGTTCTTTATCTTGTCATATGATATTCACATTAAAACCTAGCCCATCATGCAGTGCATAAAAGCAATAAATAGGAAGATGGGAATGTTTTGAGGAATACTATTATACAGTATGTGCGATGGTCTATACATTGTAATAGCTGCTTGTGCTGTGTAATGTCTGGTTATTCACTTTTATAGTGATCGTGTCAGACTGGAGGGACTTTTATGAACTGTATCAACCCTCTATGATTGTATGACTATTTCAGCTCCAGGATTTATATGTGCATGGAAATACTGCATATCTGTGGTTGTATGTGTAAGCACAGGTATGTTCTCCATGTATACATGTGTCTGTTGACATGTGAAAGCGTGTGTGTGTGTGGCAGTGCTGTGTGCTGGTATCATGTTGTATCTGCGAGGCTGCTGTCATCTCCCAGAGTGGTGTGTGGGTGTGTGAAGAGGCGACCAGATGGGGGTCTCGCTTGATGAAGGACCTTCACCTCCTACACATGCACACAGACACACAGACGTACTCACGCAAAAAACTCATATGGTCAAACACACTCAGAGGTTCTCCTTCTGCTTCGACAGATCACATGGTTGCATGGCAACCCACTCATGGATCATCATGATAAAGTTAGCATTGATCGTCCTTCAATCATTTCTGGCGGCACAACAAGATTTGTCATGTAGTCTTTGTTCAGAACACACGGTATGTCATCCTTTGAAGTATATTCTTTCAGTAGTGGTGGGCCACACAGCCGTTGTTCCACAACACATCATGCATTATTGCTGGTACCCATTAATTGCCTATTAGTTACTAGTTTATTCTAAAACAACACCATGTTGTTTCAGAATAAACTACACTGGCTATGTTCATTTTAATTAAAGTAAATGTGAATAGTAAGACTCTTTAATGGGTTTTTTCAATAGTCTTTGGACAAAAACAACATTGAATTTTTATGGCATGCTATATCTTGCTGTTGTTACACAGAAAATTCTTGCTGGTAGGATACTTTTGGCCTCTTTTCTTGATTATGATTAAAACAACAGCAGCATTATTCCTTCAGTTACACGCTCATTTATCCAGCCACTCCATCCACATAAACACACATTATATGCACAGTTGACTTACAACAGTTTGCTTCATCTGATTTATCCTTGCAATCTGCATCTCCATCGCACTTCCAGTTCATGTGGACACACTCCCCGCTCCCACACTGGAACTCGCCCACTGGGCAGCGAGGTTTCTGGGGCTCCGTCCTCCGGCTGCAGCGCTCCATGGACTCGTCTGACTTGTCCTTGCAGTCTGGGTCGCCGTCGCAACTCCACAGGGCGGGGATGCACTCAGAGTCATTGCAGCGGAACTCGTGCTGGCCGCAGGTGGGAGCCGTGCACTTCTCCTCGTCGCTGGCATCCCCACAGTCGTCGTCGGCATCACACACAAAGATAGGTGCCACACACTTCCCGTTACGGCACTGGAAATCTTTGGCGGGGCAAGCCTTGGCATCTAAAGGACAAAAAGGACAGGTGGATGAAAAATGGAGGTTAACATTCTGAGAGACATGTTTACTCCATTTTATTATCCTTACTGATTGTATATAATATACTATTACTCATTATCATTATAGGAGATCTTTTGTAAATGAATATAAAAAGCTAAAGTCAGCCGCCAAATAAAACTCTTGAACTCTTTTTGGAAGCAGACATTAGTGCACTAGATGAGAGGAAATATGAGTTAGAGGTCGGATATAGTTAACTTATCACTGCATATATTCAAACTCCTAGGGGGAGTGGGAATATATGCAGCGATATGTCTTCCTCTTCTTCTCTAGAGATGGAACGAAAGACAGTGTTGGTGCTAAAATCTAAAGTTAATGAGCACAGGGCAATTCCATATCTCTCTCCTTTGCTCTTGGGGTTTAGGCATCTGGTGAGAGTAAAAGAAAGAGTTTGATCTAAAGTCAAACGGGTGCTTGTGCATGGTGCTGAGGAGCAGTAACTGTTTAAATAAAAAGGGATAAAGAGCCAAAAGAAAACACAGATAAACTTGCCTCATGGGAAAAGCAAAGATTATGTATTATTCAAGAAAAACAAACCCTTAAATCAATAAATGCAAACATTCTTACATTGAAACACACTAGATAAACGTGACATCAAACCATATTAAGCACAAGGTTGAGAGCATATGTGCAGCAGAAGTCCAGTATGTGAAAACAGGTGTATAATGAGCAGAGTGGGGGCACAGCTGCAGGTGTCTGTCGCAGTGCAGAAACCCCCTCCACAAGTATCTGTGTGAGTAAGTATGTGTGTGGGAATGTTTTTACAGAAATACCCGTGGAGACTGTTTATATTGTCTGCGCATGTGTTTATTTCTTCATCTACAGTATCGCAAGCTGGGAAAAATAAAAAAAATCACAAAAACTATGATGAATAATATTTAAAGTTTCTAGTAATCTGTGAGGGTGTATGTACGTGTTTGTTGTTGTGTTTGTGTTTAACTGGCAAACTGCTTGTTTCCTCTTTGCCAAATACAAGAAGTGACATTAACTAATTCCAGAAAGGTTGGACATATCAATTCGAAAAAAGAAACCAAAAAAAAAAAAAATCACTTCTCCTTTCTTTGATGTAACTCTCATCTCTGGGCGACCAACGTAACCGCTTCACTCTCTCTCTCTCTCTCTTTTACCTACCCACACAGTGTGCCAAAGGGACTCATTATGATAATAGGCTATTGGATTCCCTGCTAGCTATTAGTGCTACATGCTAATCATCCCCACTCAGATCTAAGTAATTTAATTAACATGAGCACATAAACCACATCAGCAGCATCCCGGCAGAAGCTTATGTTGTTTGGGGGTCACATAAGGTGTTTGTGCAAACAAATACTTGAGCAAAGTTATAAAGTGATTATTTTAATACTTTCTGTGCAAACAGTGCTTCTGAAAATTCTAAACATATTTTGCTTCATCCCAGAGGATGATTATGAGTTGCCAGTCAGACTAAACGCCATTGTTTTGTATGCTTTAAAGACTTCATTAAAGCAGAAAGCTTGGTCAGCCAGGTGTGTTGGCAACAAACAGCAAGGCCAGGATAAGAAGCTAGTTAGTGTGGTGTCCATTGGGATACTGAGTTACAAAAACTTCTTTGCTCATAACAGCTTTATTTTCGATGTAGGAACAGGCAGGTGGCTTGCAGTTAATCGAATTTGTGTCTCATAGATAAAAAACAACCTTAGCTTGAAATTCACAGGAACACAGGCTGCATTGAACCTACTCTTCCACAACATCCTACAAGAGTTACAAGAAGGTTTGGGATGGCATCTATTCTTCTGCTTTTGGTTTTTTTCCTATCCGTGGATCAATACACATTTCCTTTGTTTCTGTCACACTGATATAAGAACACAGAAACTTGATTAATATGGAAACATAACAGAAATATAAAGTATATACATAGGTACACAAAAGTCATACTGTGGGAAAAAACAGCTTTTTCCACAATAGTTGTGAACACTATCCATGGTACTTTTGGCATATCAGAGTTTCTGATTAATCCTTGGCATTATTCATTAATATAACCAAACCAGGTCGTTGATGACTTTAAACATGTTCCTTTACTGGGAGTAAATCAATGTAAATTATTGTTAAACTATGCATTTTTGGCACTGTCTAATTAATTAACAAATGAGACCATTGTTAGACAATTCTTTGGTGAAGCATTTCTTAATATGATGATTGCATTTCCCATAAACCCTGCTGCTTTCTGTTTCAGAGAAGAGGATGTCACTTAACCAAACCCACTTGGTTTCTGTATGTTATTTTTTCTGTGGGTTCACTAAATCACATATTCAAAGCCTTTCACTTCTGTTTTCTGCCATTACAAGAACCTCTGAAAGCTGTTAAGGAATAGAGGAATTCCCCTTCGTCCCGTTAGACAATCCAGAAGATTCCCCTATGAATCAGGGTTAGGGATAGGGTTGCAATGTAAATACATACTTTGCAGAATTCATGGAGATGGTGGAATTTGCTGTATTGCATCCAAATTATGATGAAACATCAACATATATAACTTGCTGTTTTCTGTTTTCCAGGATGAATTTTTTTAAATCCACACACACCATAGAGCCACTTCAGCTGTGTGTTACTTCAGCCCCTTGATCCTATCACCTGTCAAAGCTGACACACACCAAGAACACTTTGGTCGATCAGTCAGTGAAGCCGCTCTCTCGGTTAACACAGGCCAAAGCCAATCCTTAGAAACAGAGAAAGGGAAGATTGGAGAGGAGACAGGTGCTCAGAGGAGCACACAGAGTAGGTAGATCCATTGATATATTTGAAAAAAGAAATGTCCTTTCCCACCAAAACGAACCCATCCCCAGAACACCAGGCAGGCAGATTTAATAGCAGATAAAGGCAGAGAGGATAGATGGTCAGTTGTGACAGGTAACAGATTAGATATGGTAGTATCACAGTCAACACACTCTGAAACTGTAATCCAAACGTGTCACAAATCCAACTATATTCAGCCCAAACAAAGTAAGAAAGTTGAGAGGAATCAGATTGTGTTACAGAGCTGGACTCCTGATTGTTAATTAAACACATCCATCCAATGGATTATTACACCAATTACAATTTTAAATAGGTAATCAGTAATCTGTAACTGATTACATCTTGACAGTAACCTTCCCCACCTGCGGGTGATTGTGTTTAACTTGGGGTCAAAGCTTTCTATCCATCCATCCCCAGACCCTCTACTGGACAGCTAATAGATGGAGCAGGGAGATAGGGCACAGCTCATTGACCTTGATCTGAAGGACAATTGAACTCTCTTCCCAGCATGGACTAGTCTAAAGCAAGCAACTATGCACACACACACACACAC